TACTTATTTAAATTTTGTTACCTTTTCCCCGCAATTGAAACCTCATGGCATAATTCAATTCGTTATTGAGAAATCGATACAGTGCCGTATTGACCCAATATAATAATTGATCTAAAAAACAAAATTTCATTTCCTTGGATTTATCTCTTAGTGAAGAAAAAAAATTTTTTTCATAGAGCTCCATAAAAATCTTGATCGCATTGACACTAATCCGGGGGGGGGGGAGAGAAGATTCATTGGGCGTTTTTCCGAGTCGCTGATTCTTCTTTAAGTCACGAGCGGACGTGCATTACGTTTTTCTTTCTTGCCTTTATCCCTCTCCGTGTACACACGTTATGTTTGCGTCCATGTGCGCGCAGGAGAGCGCATTACTGCGAATTAGCTTCGATAAAATCGTTAAGGCGCATTGTACCTTTGCTGAAAGCGGAGCACGACGACTACGACGACGCGACTTTCAAGTCGGGCATAAATTAATAACTGGTGCGAATAACGCACATGTAGTCGCAGAAGGAAGATTGCGCTCGAGATTTGTTGTGCTTTTGTTGGCGATCGCTCGGTTAATATTACCAGCCAAGGATATTTCGTGCGGCGCGCGTGTGTAGCGGTGGTTATTGCGCATCTCCTTCTCGGTGGGCTCGTACTTTTCGGCTCGACGTTTTCAATATTATACGAGCGAGTTGAAGGGGAAGAGGAGATATATATACACGTATTGCTTTCAGTCTGAATTTTACGAAAACTTTTTAATTCGGTCTTACCCGTTTCAGTAGAGATTGGTTCACGAATAGCGAGGTCATTCAGCTGTCATTTTTATTTTATTTTGTATTTTTACACGTGTCACAATTAAGGTACAAACATGGGTACTTATTTGAATGTTCAGTGCCCCTCGATTGCAAGCCTTTTATCTTTTTTTTTTTTTTTTTTTTCATTTTGACTGTAAAATTGAGATGGCGTGTGCTGAAAATCGCAGATGCCTCGTTAAACGGATGAGAATTATTTTTTCGTTCCGTGTATACGATTTGCGATGAGCGTTAGGATATTGCACTACATCAGTTTAAAAGAAAAACATGCCAGTTACACGACATACTGGAGGAATTTCCGTTTTGGTGGTGTTTCACGCCGTGTTTGAAAGAAAATGTATTTTTTTTTTTTTCCTATTTCGAAAATGTTCCCACTATCGTGTACCTATCGTAAAACATCATGCAGGCCTTGTCGGTTTTCTGCCAAAACAATTTCTCAGTGGCGTGTGCGTTTTCTGAATCACTCGTCCAAGGTCGCAGGGGCTTGTAAAATTCTTATTTCCTCCGTCCCGTGCCTACACCGGTCGCGATCCGCAAAACCAGTTTTCCGCACTGCCAGTTGTCAACCGCTCCTAAAATTTATCGTTTGTTTTGTTTTGTTTTTTTTCTCTAAAAAGACCACACTCGCTAAATTACGCCGAAACGGCGTAGCTGTTTTTAAAAGCCGCGCGCCCTCTCTAAGGCCGAGATTAGAGAAAACTTTGTGGGTTATCTCGCTACTGCTGCTCGGCTCTTCACTCGCATTTTCATAATGTCCTCCATCTCCCGAGCGCGACACCCGCACTTAGACGTATTTATATATATATATATATATATATATATATATAGACGTTTCACAACTCGCGAAACGCTCGGGTAAACACCGCTTATCCATCATCTCGCGTGTATTATTTTCTAGGTTTTTTTTTTATCTTTTTCTTTTTACTCGCATTTATCTGTGTTTTAATTTATGCGACAATGCATACGCCGCTTATACGAGCGGAGTGGAAAAGACCGGCGCGTTACATTTACGCGATAAATCAATTTGGCGCGTTAACGATATTTCCCTCTAAAAATTCGAGCGGAGTAAAAATATAGACCCGCCGAGGCTCATTATCGGAAAAGCTGACGAGGACGGGTCGCTGATTTTAATATGCATCAGGTGAATTCCGCGCGCGGATAATGCCACCTCTTTAAAAACAACGTCAGAGAGCGTGGGTCAATATAACGAGACGAAATGCCGATGGCTTTTGTTGTCATCAAATAAGTTGCGTTAATGGTGCACAATGACATTTTAATTACAGCAGTTAAAACATTTTCACTAGAGCACAATTATTTTATGGATTTTTAAGCAAAATTTTTTCTTTTTCATGAATTAAGTGGATACTTTTTTGGGGAAATTTTTTTTTTCCGGGAAAATACAATCCAATGCACTTACGATGTTCTAGAATATTTGCAATCTAATATTTTAATACTCTTCATGCGCTTTGATTCTTTTTTCTTTTACTTTTAGAATTACGATTTAAGTAGTAATTGAAAAAAAAAAATTCTTTTTCAGCACTATAAAATGCATTACGCTTTTTTAACAAAAAAAAGTAAGAATTTAAAAAAAATTGAAAAAGTATCCTTGCCCGAATCTGAATGTTATTACCTTGTACCATACCTATATTTAAAAACAAACTATTTGACAATCATTTCTGGTACTATACTTGCTACGTTTTAATTTAATTTTTTTTAAATCGTGATTTTTTACAATTACAAATTCAGAGAGAGAATCAAATTTAGTATGAATTTTAAATAATTCAATCTGTACGAAAATGAAAAAAAAAAATCAAGCGTAAATACACGAGAACTGACATAAAAATCCAAAAATTTCGTATTCTTGGTTTAACAATGCTGATATGAAAAAAAAGAAAAAAAATTCCAACAGCCTCCGCGGAAAAAGCACACCGGAAGAGTGACAGATTAGCCGCGAGCTTATTCCTCGGTATCGACGTATCGGCTCGCCGACAGGATTCTCGCGCCAAAAAGATTTTTCCCTCGCTTTTTTCCGATTGTCACCCCCAGGGGGTGTCGCACAGCGAATAAATTTTCGCCTCGGATTGGGTGGTGTTTTTTTTTTTTCCTTTTTTTCGTTGAGAATAAGCTCCACATTTCGGCTAATTGATAAGAGATTAGCCACGCGTCGGTGCTCTATCAGTGACGCGGCTAACCCTCCTGTGACCGTAGTTTTGTTTTGGGCAATAATTCTTCGGTTAAGCACCGGCAGCGGTCGCGATAGCTCCGCGGTGATGGAGCGTGCAGGTTTAGAGAGGAAAACCTGAACGAATGGTATTAACGAAGAGAGTTGGCTGCTACTCTGTATTATCTACATTTATTTCTCGGAATTTTTCTAATCTACCCAAATGGATACGTATACTCTGTATGCGAGAGTCGACGTATGGATATAAGACTTTTTTTTAAATTTTTTCGTTTTCGTTTTTCACAAATTGCCGAAAACAACGCATGGACGGCAAATCGACGATCCGAGCCCCCGTCTTTTGCGCGCTCCGTATATGAATGATTTATCAGAAGAATCACGAGTCGGCGCGCAGCTCCGCTTTGCATAATGGGGCCTCGCGCCGGAGCGCCTCGTAATTAATGAGGACTCGGAGCTATCACGTGTATACACCTATACATATCGATAGTGCTATTGTTGTGTTATTGTTGGATGTGCACGTTGGCGCGTGCATGTGTCAATGAGAGCCAACAATGGCCGCAGTGTGCTGCTCTCGCTTCGATTACATTTAATGCACAGTGAACCCTTTATTGTATGTATATTCGAGGATGCTAATCGTGCCCCGCGAGTTGATGAAAAAATCGTTTTTCTCCTCCTCCCCGACACGCCCGATCGTGCACGGCTTATAATTTTATCTATTTTAAAATGTATCGTTGCGCGTTATAATTACGGAAAAATATGTATGGTTTTTTTTTTTTGTTTTCCGGACAGTGATTCGAGAGTTCCGCGTGAGGCAAAAACAAGCGATTCCATCCTCACTTTTCGCCCTCTCGAAGACGTACGCGTTTACCTTGACACGTGCTTTTTTTCCACACTCCGGGGCCCGATCTCGCCATCTTTTATTTATGAGCCCCTCGCGGCCCCGACGAATACCGAATTGGGCGCTCCTCCCCCCCC